TAAAAAAAAAAAAAAAAAAAAGGGAAAAGAGAAAGACGTGAACCTGACAGCTCAGCAACTGGCAACTGTTTAGTTCGAGCGTTTTTCCTGGGGGCAGAAAATTCGTACTGGAGCATCAGGAAGCGGACAGATGAAGCAACCCACTGTGCACGCTGTGCTCCCTAACTGGACCATATCAGTGCCCATTTTCTGAAGCTGTGAGCTCACCAGTTCCAGAAAGCAGGATCTCTTTAAAATGCCTTTCCTTGAAACACCCTAAAATATTAGCTAATTCTTAAAAACCTTGGGTACTGTCTTTATATAGGGAGCACGCACATGCACCTGTGAATTCTGGGCCAGTGAAAGATTGTGAGCTGACAGGCTTGGGACCGCGGCAGATGAGTACATCATGCATGTAGTAAAGTGGGCTCCCCTCCGTGTCCCTCTCTGACCATTTTCATGGGCCATTTATCAACAGAGTGAGGAGCTCCGTGTCCCTTCTTGTCCTCTCTGCTGAGAACATAAATGAGAAAGGCAAATAAGAGCAACCTCTTAGGAGGGAGGGGACGTGTCCTGCTGCGTATTGCACTGCAATTAAGCAACTTGTTTTGCTTCCCAGCATGACTGAGGCGGCAGGGTGAAACTGGAACAACGGTATTAGTTACAAAAAGAGAAGGAGAAAAAGAGTAGAAGGAGAAGCAGCAGGGAGACAGAAGGCAAATGCAGTAAAATGGAAAAAAAGTGGGTCCAAACCAAAACCAAGGCCCTTATTGCAAGCAGAACCAAGCTGACCACTGAAACGCAGAGGTGATGGGAAAGAGCTGCTGGACCCCCAAACCAGGAACCTTGTATTTCTTCCCTGCCTCTTCATTGTAATTTGAACCAGTTGTATTAAGAAAACAGCTCCCTCTGCTCTTACTGGAGAACAGAGGGAACTTATGCATGCACCCCTTGGACTTCATTTAAATTTAAGTGGCTTTTCTTCCTTCTCCAGTTTTCCTGGGTTATAAAATGTCCCCACATAGCAGCTCCCCCCGTCCTGCAAGCCAGTCCCTTCACCTTGCTGAGGAAATCTGCCTCAAGAATCCCAGCCAGCCATCGCTGCCCAGTTTCTGTGTGGGGTCTATGTCAATTATTAAAAGTCTGCTTTGACACCTGGACAACAAATAATTTAAT